CTTGTTCAGATTGGCCCAGATGGCGAAATCAAGCGGCATCAGATCAGGGGACCGCTTCGGCAAGTCCAACTTCTGGATGCCAGCGGACTTCTTCGCCGCCATGCCCGAGCGAGATTTGTAGCCCGTGGGGTCGTTGTCTTCCATGACGCGGAACTTGCCGCGCACGGAAGGGTAGGCCCTCTTCAAAGCGGGCTGGAGCGCCCCCGAGTACATTCGCCCCGCGCTGCGGCGTTCCACCTGCCGACCACCCGGTGCCACATCAACACCTTGCCCGCGCCGATGGCGCACGCGATGGTCACGGAGCCCTTGCCCGAACTCTGCTTCAGAACCTGGGGGCGAGCCAAATCAGAGCGCGCCGTCGGCCACTGGCCTGGCGCTGAGTTGCTCGGCTTGACGTGGCCCACGGAGAAGTCCCGCTTGCGCTTCCTGTACACCCCGCGAACCTTGCGCTTTGCCGCCACCTTCCTGTACTTCGCATTGGGCAGCACCTGGAACACCATGTTGTCCATGCACGCGTGGACGTACTGTGACCACTGGCTGGGGCTCCGGTGCTTGTGCTCGCGGGCCCACTGCAGGCGCTCCTTCTTGTCCCCATCAGAAAGGTCAGGCTTCTCGTACAGCGGGCGGAACTGGTAGCCATTCTCAGCAAACTCGCGGCGCACTGTCTCGATGTCGAATTTCAACTTCATCTCGGACTTCAGCATGGCTGCCGTCACTTCCTTTGTGCCGCCCGAGGACTTCAGAAGCTTCTTGTAAGCGCGCTGGGCAGCGAGAAACCCTTTGGGGGTGCGGATGGAATGCTTCGGGCGGCCCTTGGACTTCTTTGTCGTGTTCTTTTTGAACAAATGCTTCGAGACGGTGTCCGTGGAGCGGCTCAAGGCCGCGGCGATCCTCTTGACGCCCATGCCGCTGTCATGCAAGCGGCGCATTGCGACGTGCTCGTCGGCAGATACATGAGTGAAGGATTCCGGCGACATTCTCCGGCTGTGGAGACAACGACGGGCCAAATGCGCTCGGTCCAGAAATAGCTGCGGTCATCCTTCCAACGGGGGCATCCTGAAAATGGATGCAGTCCAGTGAGCGAGGGCATCCTATATCTCGGATGCCTTTTTTTCTCCATTAGTAGCGCCATAGGTTCGGGTGGCTTCTGTCCGTGAAAATGGTCTAGATCTGCGCGACATGCGCGCGCAGGTGCGCAAGGGGTATCCATTTTGGGATCCCCCCTCGCTGCTGCTTCGTTGGCTGCCCTGTGGCTGAATCGTTGGCTGCCTGGTTCCTGGTGGCCTGCCTGCTCGGCTGCCTGTTGGCTGCCTTGCTGGCTGCCTCGATGGCTGCCTCGTTGGCTGCTTTGTTGGCTGTCTCGTTGGCTGCCTCGTTGGTTGTCTCGTTGGCTGCCTCGTTGGTTGCCTTGCCGGGTGCTGTGTCGGTGGCCTCGTTGGTTGCCTTGCTGGCTGACCTGTCGACCGCCTCGCTGCCTGGCTGGCTGCCTCGTGGGCTACCTCGTTGGCTGCCTCGTGCCTCGTGGGCTACCTCGTTGGCCGCCTCGCTGGCTGCTTCGCCAGTTGCCTCGACGGCTGTTTTTTTGGCTGCCCCGCGGGCTGCCTCGTCGGAGGCCTCGTTGGCCGCCTCGCTGGGTGCCTCGTAGGCTTCTTCGTTGGCTGCCTTGTTGGCTGCCTCGCCAGCTGCTTTCCTGAAAGCCTACCAGACAACGCCCCCATCAATATCACGAGCAAGCGCCTATCCATCTGCCATGGCGACGATGAAGGGAGCGTGGTAACCCAGGACCCAAGGACGGCGAACGAATGAACAGCATGTGCAGAGAAAAAATCGTAATCATGTGTATGCGCTGACTATATCACCCTGGGTAGGAATAAACCGACCCGTTCGCAGCCTGGGGACCGATGGGGCCTCGGAGGCCTCAGGATGGCTCAAGGCAGCCCTCCACAGGACCGTCTCCAGCTTTCGATAATGCACCCGATGTCTGTTGTGGACGGTGGGACGACAGCAACATGTAACCCTGGGCAGGCAAAATCGAACTTCCCGCAGCTCCGGTAATCCATGGGGCCTCCGAGGCCTCCAGGACGGCCCAAGGCAGCCCTTCACAGGACCGTCTCCTTCCATCCCTCTTTCGGCCCCCTCCGATCCCCTCCCCTCCCCGTTCCCTTCCCCTCCCCTCCCCTCCTCCCCATGCCCTCTCTTCCCCTCCCATCGCCTCTTCGCCCCTGCCTCCTCTGATTCACTCCTCCCGCACCTGCTTAGAAATCCTCCACGCTCCACCGCTTGATCCTCCTCCCCACCACCTCCCATCCTCATCCTTCTCATTCCTCCTGTCTCTCACTACTGTTCCTGGCCCTCCGCATCCTCATCCTCATCCCCATCCTCCTCTTCCTCCTCATCCTGATCCTTATCCTCCTCATCCTTCGCTTCCTCCTCCACCTTCTCCCCCAAGTCATGGGATCTTGGATTTATGAGGGTCGCTTTGAGCAATGTGCAGAACTACACAAACCTTGCCATGGACAGTAGATGGACAATATATTCGAACCCTCACACATTCGAGGGAGATTCTGAATCACCCCCGCGCCCCCGACATCAATGTTGATCTCAGCAAAGGCGGTGCTTTGGGGTTCGAATATTTCTGTCCACTCACGCCCCCCCCGTCGCCACGCCATCAATATTAAATTCGGGGGTTCGGGGGGGCATCTTGGGCCACAGGGTTCGAATATAATGTCCATGTACGGGAGGAAGAGGAGGAGGAGGAGTAGGAGGAGGAGAGAAGAGGAGGAGGAGGAGGAGGAGGAGGAGGAGGAGGAGGATGGAGGAGGAGGGAGGAGGAGGAGGAGAGAGGGAGAGGAAGAGGAGGAAGAGGAGGAGGAGGTGGAGGATGAGGAGGAGAGAGAGAGAGGAGGAGGAGGGGAGGAGGAAGGAGGAGGAGGAGGAGGAGGAGGAGGAGGAGGAGAGAAGAGGAGGAGGAGGAGGAGGAGGAGGAGGAGGAGGAGAGAGGAGGAGGAGGAGAGGAGGAGGAGGAGGAGGAGGAGGAGGAGGAGGAGGGAGGAGGAGGGGGAGGAGGAGGGGAGGAGGAGGAGGAGGAGGAAGGAGGAGGAGGAGGGGAGGGGGAGGAGGAGAAGGAGGAGGAGGAGGAGGAGGAGGAGGAGGAGAGAGGAGGAGGAGGAGGAGCAGGAGCGGGCGGATCCCCCAGATACTGGCACTGCCAGGGGCGCCTCCTGACCAACACTCCGAGGAGGAAAGCACTCCGAGGAGGATCCGGCCTTGGTGGCGAGGACTCTCTGGGCCAAGCAGCAACGCATCCTCAGCTCAGCCCACCTCGGCTTGACGTAAGAGTGACCCTAGGTAAGAATGACCTTTGGTACGCGGCTTTTTCGGGGCCGCGGGGAGGCCAACTCCAAGCGCGCTAGCCGCTGCTGCCGCTGCGCGTTCAGCCATCTGGGGGCCCATCTGTAACGGCACCAAAGGTCACTCCAGCGAAAGGTCACTCTTACGTCTAGTCGACCCCCTCGGCCCCCCCGTGGTGACCTTACGTCTAGTCGACCCTCGGACCCCCGGTGGTGACCACCCTTGGCACTGCCCGGTCTGCTTGTCGATGTGCTTGAATTTGCAGTTCCACCGCGTGCACATGCCCATGCTGTACAGCTGGCAGACCTCGACGCCGCCTGGGCGCGCGCGCGGGGGGCGGAGAGGCCAGGCCTCGGCACGGGCCAGCGCCTCGCGGGCTCGGGATCCGCCATGCTTTGTGGGGGCGATTCCGCAGGCAAGCCAAGGCGGGAAACAGGTCCGCCCTGTGTGTGTGTGTTCCTCCTCCTCCTCCTCCTCCTCCTCCTCCTCCTCCTCCTCATCATCATCATCATCATCATCATCATCATCATCATCATCATCATCATCTTCCTCCTCCTCCTCCTCCTCCTCCTCCTCTTCCTCCTCCTCCTCCTCCTCCTCCTCCTCCTCCTCGTGTGTGTGTGTTGTGTGTGTCTGGGATGTGCCGCGTCCGCCCTGAGTGGCCCGCGCCTCGCCCCCGCCCCCCCGTCTGCGGCCGCCCGCCCCGTCCCACTTTCCCGCTCTCTTGCATGCCCGCCAATGCGCTGCAGCGGCGCCCCCGTTTAGTTTAGCGCACTCCGCCGGCGCAGACGATCCCTGCCTAGCCGCCGACGCAAAAAGTGTGGGCGTATGTGTATGTGTGTATGTGTGTATGTGTGTATGTGAATGTGTATGAGTATGTGTATGTCTGTAGGTGTGTAGGTGTGTATGTGTATGTATGTGTATGTGTATGTATGTGTATGTGTATGTGTATGTGTATGTGTATGTGTATGTGTATGTGTGTGTGTGCGTGCGTGCGTGCGTGCGTGCGTGCGTGTGTGTGTGTGTGTGTTTGTGTGTGTGTGTTTGTTTGTGTGTGTGCTTGTGTGTGTGTGCGTGTGTGTGTGTGTGTGTGTGTGTGTGTGTGTGTGTGTGTGTGTGTGTTCGGGCTCCTTTGATGTCGATGTTCGCCCTGCTTTGCCGTCGCCTTTTCCGCCATGCAGATGGCCGCTGACATAAAAAAAAACATTAGATAGATAAGGAACTTAACCCCCCTTTTGCCAAGCAGGCCCATGAAGGCTGAAGACACGGCCGAGCCCCCTTGTAGCGGCGTCCCGCCACGATCTGCCTTCGTGATGAGAGCCCCACCCCCTCTGCCACAAGACCAGGGAACGCCCCTCTGCCCCCCTCCGCCGCTCCAAGGTCACTCCGCCCCACTCTTCTGAAGGGGCCCAAGGACACACAAATAAATAAACACTAATAAAGATATTCCCCATATTTTTTCTCATATTTTCTGGGTTTCTGTCTTCCCGCCCACTTCCCATATTTTCAATTTTTTTCTGGGGAATCGAGGGTTATTTGTGTCTGTGTGTGTTTCTTTTCCTCCTGTTCTTCCTCGGCGGAAATCCCCGCCCATGGCTGCACAGCCGGCAGACCTCGACGCCGCCCCGGGCGCGCGCGAGAGCGGGGCGGCGGAGGCCGAGCTGCTCGGCACCGGGCCCGTCCCTCCCCACGGAGGACCAGAGACCCCGACTCTTGTGGGAGTGTCGATGTCCTCCGTCGTGGAGACGGAAAGGCAGCCTCCAGAAGAGAGGAACTGACAGGCGCCTCCCGAATCGAGGAGGGCCATCTGGACGGAGGCCGAGCCTCCGCTCTGGCACGGCCCGCCCCTCCCCGGAGGATCGAAGACCTCCGTTTCGGGGGGTCCCAAGAAGGTGCGGCGACAGACTGTGCGGTGACCTCAAAATCCCCAGGAGACCTCACCGCAGGATCCGTTGCCGCACGCTTTTGGGACCACGGAGGCCCCAGTCGCGCTAGACATCCTTGGAGAACGACCAAAGCCCCAAAATCGTGACTCGAATCCGGACTGCCTCGCCGCACGATGTGGTCACCACGCCATGCAGGGGCCCCCGATCCATCGTTGAGGAGCAAGCAGCCTCCAGAATGGAGGAACAAAACAGACGCCTCCAGAATGCATGAGAAGAGCTCCTGGAACTTGGCCCACCCCCCAAGGAGAATCAATATCCTCCATTCTGGGGGTCGAAGCTCCACCTTGGAGGCAAAGATCGCCCCCAGAATGGAGGAAAAGACAGCCTCGAGAATGAAGGGCGAAAAGCCTCCCCCACAGAGGAGCAAAAACATATGAAATGGAGGTTCGGCTTCCACTCCATTCCAAACACCCAACACGACCCACGACCACCATCACGACCACCAAGTGAAACACGATGCTGCAGGCGAAATCGAAACTGGGGAGTTGGTGGGCAGTCCTACCGAAGAACCGCCTTCGCCATTTCCTCTGAGGGGAGATGACGACGCTGGCGCGGATGCAGAAGGGGGCGGAGGAGGAGGAGGAGAAGCAGCAGGAGGAGGAGGTGGAGAGACGAATAATGGAGAAACGTCC